ACAACGATAAAGATGATGTTGATGGGGTTGATGAAGAAGAAGATGATGACGATGACGATGGTGAAGATGACGATGGTGAAGATGACGATGGTGAAGATGACGATGGTGAAGATGACGATGACGATGACAAACACGCCACACTGACGGCAAATATTGTTGGTGTATCAGTTGTGCTCATATTTGTTTTACGATCTTGAGAAAGATCAGTTTCGTGTGCGCTCGTGATTTTGCTGCTGTTGTGGTTGTGGCTGCTGTTGTGGCTGTGGCTGCTATTGTGGTTGTGGTTGCTGTTGTGGTTGTGGCTGCTGCTGTTGTAGTTGTCGTCGTTGCTGATTTCAACGTCGTCTGAAAGTGTTGTTGCGTGGCGGTTGTGGTTGTTGCTGCTGAAGTAGTTGTTGTTTCTGTTTTTGCCAATGTTGTTGCCACATGTCACTATGATTTGAGATATAATCGGCACTTCCATTATTATTTTGTACCCTTCATGGACGAGTTTTTTGTTTATGTAAAAATGTTTTTTAACAAAATTTCTTTAAAAATTGTTAATAAGTTTTTATTCAATCTTAAACTTTTTATTCTCATGTTTCTTAAAAAATTTTAGCATTTGTGATTATTATCACACTTTATCAAGAACAAAATCTACAATGAAAAATGAACAACGTAAAAGAGAAAAACAAACAAAAAATAGCATCACTAAACAAAACTTACCATAACATAACGCCCCAGCACAAATATTTAATCATATCAAATCAAAAACAATGACAAATTATCAAAAGCATTTTAGAAAATTTTGTGTGCTATTAGGGAATAAGACAATGAAAGTAGTACAATTAAAAATAACAACACAACAACAACAACAACATCAGCAACAACTGCAAAGACAACAACAATGAATCAAAAACATGCTTAACATCATAACAACAGCCTACACGTGAAATCAGCCAACCGTTTAAATAGCCACACAACGACGAGTCCTCGGAGTTTTCATTTGTTGAGATGTATTTTGTTGCTCTTGTTTGCGATTGTGTTGTTGTTGTTGTATTTTGAGAAAAGTATGTTGTTGTTGATATGGTTGTTGTGGTGGAAATTTTGTTATCTATAACCGAAGGTGTTACAAAAATTGAGGATGATAATGATGATGATGATGATGATGATGATGACATCAGTGATGACATAAACGATCTGGTTGATGATAATGATGAGGATGATGATGATGCTGATGATGATGACGATGTCATCAATACTACTGTAATTGACGGTAATGATGATGATGAAACAAAGTTATTTTCCACTGTTGCTGTTGTTATTGTAGGTGGTGATGATGTTGTTAATGATGATGATGAGGATAATGATGATGACGATGACGATGATGATAACGTTATTGTTGATGATGATGATGATGAGGTCTTTGCGGATTTATTGGTAGTAGCAGTGCTTGCAAGATGAAGTTTTGTAGCTGGTGAAATAATTTTCGTCCTCGCTGAACTGCAAGTCTTGTGATGATGGTCAGCGTCCACACTCTCAAACACCATGTTCCTAGTTTTGTTTGTACTGAGACAATCAACAACATACAAATCTTTTAACCCACACATTCCACAACATCCAATGAAATTTAATATTCTTAGCCAATCCAAGCGACACATCACAGATCATACTTCATACTAACAAAACGAAATAAACAAAAGAGCCATGTGTGTGTGTGTGTGTGTGTGTGTGTTTTGTGTGTGTATGTGTGCGTGTGCGTGTGTGTGCGAGTGAGTGTTGATATATTTAAAAATTAATTTAAAAAAATTAATATTTACAATAATAATATAGTAACTAAAAATATAAATAATAAATAATATTATTATTATTTATTAATTAATAATAAAAATAAGCCAAAAATAATAATATTATCCAATTAAAATTGTCCGCCATATTAAAGAAATTTCAGAGATTGAAACCCACACTTGTTTCAGCAGCATGTAACATTCAACCGACTCCTCCGAAAACAAACGAAGGAGATGAAGATGGAGATGATGATGATGAGGATGATGAAGACGATGATGAAAATGATGATAAAAATGATAAAGATGAAGATGAAGATGATTATGATGATACCATATTAACGACGTTGTTTATGATGGTAGTGATGGTTATGATGATGATTAATAAAATGATGATGATAATAATGTTGTTGATGATAGTAGTGTTTGATAATATTCATGATGCTGTTGATGGTGATAATAATAATGATGATCTCGATAATCATTCTGTTGGCGATTATGATGTCTATGTCGATATGTTGGATGATAACGGTGATTTGTTGAAACAAAAATTTTGGAAAATGAAACTGAAACTACAAAACTGCTGATTGATATTTCCATATCTTCACGGAGATGCGAAGATGCTGGATAGATGGATGGTTTACAAAATGATTGCAACAAGCATCACGAAAAGAATGATGATGATAGCTTAATGATAGCTTTGTGATAAGATTGTGGTTCATTCAATTTCAATGGTAAAATTTATCTAGCAGAAAGAAAAAAAATTTCAAACGAACGGATGAAGAAATAAACAAACAAATGTAAAAATGAAAGAACAAATAAACGAACAAACAACGAACGAACGAACTAATGAATGAATGAATGAAGGAGAGGGAAGAAACAAATAAAGGAGCAGACGACAGAGATGAAGGGAGCATAGGAGAAAGCGAGGTGTGGCTCAGGCATCCATCATAATTAAGCCACTTGCCATTTAATCTGCATCTGAATGCCAGTTTAAGCGGCTAAGATGGGAAAAACTAAAAACGTGGTTGAAGAATGCAAAAACAATGTGAACACCTCATATACTTCATCTACGTGACGATGTTGACGATGATGAGGATGATGATGAGGATGATGAAGATGATGATGAGGACAGTGATGAAGATGATTACAATGATGTTGTTGATGATGATTATGATGAGGATGATGAATAAGAAGATGATGATGATGATAATGATGATGAAGATTATCATATTTTTGTTGTCGTTGTGACGATGATGAAGAAAGTAATGTCTGTGATTTATATGATAGTGACGGAGAATTTCATCAGGCCATATACTTTAATAATAGCTCAGGCTGTAGTGGTGCCTGCTGAGGCCAATGTTTTTGTGTAAGAAACATTCACGTGACCATGTTCGAATCCAATCGTGATCCAAACTTGAAGAATCGCGTGCATGATTTAATTTATCGTGAAACATATACACTTTGCAACTTTAACCATCGCGTTGATTAACGTGATTATCTGTCAAAACAACACAATCCTTATAACTGTCATAATTAATAGGACTGATCTAATGTTTATTTCAGTTCATCATCATTATTGTCATCCTCATTGTCACCATATTTTTCATTATTATTATCACTATCATCATCTTCATCATCGTCATCATCTTTTCAGTTTTCTTCTTCCAAAGAATTCACGTTGACGTCAGCAGCTGGAAACGGAGAACTGTTGTTTATGTTCCTGATTTGTTGAGAAGGACTTTTGACTTTTGCTTTTTCTACATATCTGCACCACACACACACACAACTTTATCACCTCAGAATTTAATTGAATTACATCATCACGAGTTTGTTCAACGGTAAAGTTGGTAACCACAACCAAAACTTACTCACCACAACCTTCGGTAAGGCATCAAATCAAATGTTTACGCTCTGTTTGTGGATAATAACAAACATGAACAAACAAATTAACAACTATATTACCAGCAGATTACAAAAATCAAAAAAATATAATTTTAAATAATTCAACGTATGGTTGCTTATTTATTTCAACGTACAGAGGCAAGCACACATGGATATATATACATACATATATATATATATATATATATATATATATATATATATATATATATATATGTATATATATATAGGTGTATATATATATATATATATATATATATATATATATATATACTATGTATATGCGTGTGTGTGTGTGTGTATGTTTGTCTATATATATATATCTATATCTATATATATATATATATATATATATAGAGAGAGAGAGAGAGAGAGAGAGAGATGTAAAAACATACATATACATTTGTAGACATAAAGAATATTATGTACTTGAATTAGTACAGAATACCTACTCTCGAATTTGTACTTTCTGTTTTATATACATACATGTGTATGTACTAAAACGTAGATGCCCTCATATGAGAATGTATTTATGTATGTTCGTATGTATAAAATCATGTTTGTATAGAAATTTTGAAAATTTTAACTTACATCGTAAATATCACTTATAAATTGAAGCTATTGTAATATAAAAAGTAAATTGTTGAAATGTTTTTCATAAATTGTGACCGAGACAAGTCTTTTAACACTACTTTTTTTTAAATTTTCCCTATCAAACATCTAAAAAATGCATGTGTATTGAAATTTTAATAAGTAATTCTCTCATAAATATTACTATCTGCAACAGTAATAAACGACTTTTACGCAGCAGTTCACACAACTAAAAGCAACATACTAACAAACGCTGAAACATAAAAACTCACACATACAAACAAACGCCCATTACAAACATACACTTGAAATAAATACACACATAAGAATATCCACACATACAAATACACACACACACAGAGGCACGCACACACGAAGATACAAACACTAACATACGGACAAACATACACACACACACACACACACACACACGCATACAAACAAGCATACAACTTTGAGTGTACTTCGGAGTGTGTACCAGCCTATCCGTGCATTTTCATGATTAATTGTGTCATTAAGCAGAGGCACGCATTCCTCCTCCTTCCAGTCCGCAGTAAAGCCGAGAAGAAGAAAATTCGCTTTCATCGTTTGTTTATTATTTCTCAAAATTATTTATACAATTATAAATATTTTTGTTTGTTTGTTATCCCTTCAAAATATTCATACAATTATGAATTTTTTGTTGGTATTTATTTCTTTTAGCTCGAAACAGAAAAAAAAGTTCTAAAAATAAACCGTAATATTATAAAAAGATTAACATGAAATAAAAAATTAAAGAAAGAATTGTTATTTAGCAAAATGTTAACCCCCGCCATACATGCAAGATAACATTATATTTACAAATACAAACACATAGGCATTCACACACACACACACAACACACACACACACATACATACATACAAAACACTAACACATAATTACAACACTCACACACACAATACAGACACACGTCCACAGAAGGTGTCATCGTGAATACACACACACAAACACACACACAAACACACATACAAAACACACTGAAAACACTAGAGTAAAGAATAAAAACACAAGCCAGCACTGTAAAATATACTATTAATTTCATGTAAGAACCATATGAGAAGTTTTTATTAAGTATAAATAAATACAAACATGTATACAATACTACATACAAGTTAAAAACGAAAATGTACATGTACAGTTAGAGTACAGCTTTAGATACGCAAACACATTTTCACAAACTCAACAAACAAACAAACAAGTTGAGAGATGAATGAACACGAACGTGTAAAATTGCACAGACCTGCAAATAAATTGAAAACGCGCTAACAACCAAGCCAGACAAACAAAAATCCGACAAAAAACTTACAGACAAATAAACTGAAGGTACAAACAAGCGTAGGTACAAACAAAGCAACATGCAAGCAGATGAAGATACGAACGTGCAAACATTTACCCATTCAAACATATGGACAGAGGTACGAAAATGCGCACATATAAACAAATACATAAACAGACAAACAGACGGATGAACGAGCAAGCACACAGCTAACATTTAGCCTGATCTTGCTGTTATTTATGATCTTTCTTGCGGGCGTGCACGTTTGTGTTTAGTAAACAGGCTGGTGTGTTTGTTGTGTAAATCATTGCCAGCCATTATCGCATCACGTTTCCTCTGTCAACAACAACTTCCAACTAGACCAAACAAAAAACATCTTTGTATGTTCAGACGTACGCATGGGTATGTATACATACATGTATGTATGTATGAGTGTTTGTATTTAGGTACGTATAAACTGTATGTATGTGTATGCTTGTGTTTATGTGTGTTTTTGAACGTGTATGTGTGGGTGTATGGGTAGTTTAATATATGCATGATTGGGTGCTTGTACGTGTGCACTTGAGGCATGTACGTACAGGTGTTTGTAGGTAGCTAAGCATGTGATTGCATTGCCGTGTGCTACAAAGCGTTGCAATGCATTAATATGAGTTTACAGTTTTTAGATGGAATTTTTGTCTCAGACCCCTTCAAAGATGGCGCTAGTGGAGAAGATGCAGCAAGCAGATACCTACTTCACTTTATATATATATATATATATATATATATATATATATATATGTGTGTGTGTGTGTGTGTGTGTGTGTGTGTGTTCCTTTATCTTCGTTAGTGAGTTTTGTTGCGTGAGTTTGATTGATGGATGACTAGTGTGATTGTTTTATGTTAAAGCATTTGGTATGAGTTTATTAAGATCAATAATACATTACTATCGTATTAACCATCCCAGCTTTCACATTGTTGTATCACATCGTATGCAGGCAGGGTCAGAGCTGCATTGAATACAATGCGGCTACATAATTTGAACAAAAAAACTGAGATAATGGTTAAAAATAAAATGATAATTATTAAATTAGAATTTTTAAAACTAAACTAAATTAATACTTTGTGGAGATGCATGACCTCAAAATCTTCAGCAACCGACCAGAGTCCATCCAGGCAGGATGGCGAAGGAAGAACTCACGTAACGAAATTAACGACATAAACAAAAAATTAACAGTACATCATGAAGAGATGAGTGCATTGAGCAGACAAAACGAACGTGAACCAATAAAATAAACACAAACCGACTTGAACTTACTTCGACAGACATGAAAAAACCAAACGAGAGACCCAAGCCAACATCAACAAAGTCCCACCTCTCACGTTCGATGAAAACAAACAACCGACACACACACACACACACCGACACACAAGCCTTCACACACACACACACACACACATCTATGCATGCCAACCACAGATCCACACAAACACCAGACTACCCAGAAACGCCAACACATGCGGGCATAAAATCCAAAGCAAACAGTGCAGAGCCTATAATAGAGGAACGCAAACAGAGAAGTATGCAGGCAACAAACAAGGAGAGCACGTGATATACCAGGCAAACATGCACACGCTCACACATTTGTACACATACACTTGCCCACACGCATGCATGCTTCTGCTTGCCTCTGTACACTTTGCGTTTATTTACGCAAGAAAAAACACACTGTAGAACGCGCTTTTGTATGCGAGCTTAAGACAAAAATTCTTATTTTAGAAACTTTTTTCCTATTTTTCATTGTTTTCAGGTTATTCCATAGAATATACATTCACTTGTTATACGCGTTATTTTTTGCAATTAACTTAAAGAAGAAGAACAAAAAACCACTAACGAGATATTCATAGCGACGCGAATTAACGTTGATCAACAAGACAACGCACTCGTAAACAACAACAACATTAAAGAAAACAAATTAGCAATGAACCAAATATAAACATCAATATTCCAAAACATTTCTAAATAAACCTCTTCTATTTTAAAACAGGCGAAATAGAAACTTTTTAAATTAAGATAAAAGACACTGGAAAAAAGCACTTGCAGAAAAAACTAACTTTAAAAAATAAACAAACAAAAAAAATTAACAGAGCGCTAGAAAAACAAAAGAAAATAATGAAAAAGACCGAAAAAAGCGCGGGTACTCAATAAATCCTGAACCATCGAAGCTATTAGAGCATGCTTATCGCAAGCCTGCAGTTCGCACGCGCCTGCGCATGACTTGTGCGTGTGCAAACGTCTTCCTTTCTTGCGTGGGAACGCAAACAAATGCCTGCGTTAAAATGGGAGAGGAACGGACGGACGGATGGATGGATGGATGGAAGGATGGATGGATGGATAGATGGATGGATGGATGGATGAATAGATGCATGCATGCATGGAGGGATGGATGGATGGATGCATGCATGCATGGATGCATGCATGGATGCATGCATGCCTGGATGGGTGGACGGGTAGATTGATGGATGGAGGAATGGATGCATGAATGGATGCATGCATGCACGCATGCATGCCTGTATGGGTGGACGAGTAGATTGATGGATGAATAGATAGGTGAATGAAAAAAAAAGATAAAATTTTTTGTTAAATAGGTAAAATGAACTAGTCGGTAGATAGATGAAATTAAACATTTGAGTCGCGAAAGAAATACGAATAATTGATAGACAAAAATTTACTGTATCGATCATATAATTGCATGCATCAATGAAAAAATGCTTAAACACCGAAATGATTTTAACCCAATGACAAATAATTTCACACAAAAAAATTAGTAATTAAAAAATAAAAATATTAAAATATCAAAATTTTTTATTTCGAAATTTTAAACGTTAAAAAATGAGTCTAATTCTATGGAGTTTTTTTTAAGCAGTATAAATAACATTGAAATGAAAGAGAGCATTGTGTGCAACCCTACTTTACTAAAGTTAAATTATTTTTCTAAAACTGAACATTATAGCAATCTTTAAATTCCTAAATCTCTCCTATGTCACTGGTCTTGAAAATCTGCTTTGAAATGCTACACGCGCCACAAAATTAGCAGAAATCGCATTTGGTAGTTGCAAGCCTAATCTTAATAGTTGGGCTAAAATTTTTCTTACTCTGGTAATAGTAGTTTTAGTCTAAGGTTTATTTACTTCTGTTTTGAGTTTAAGATTTTCCGTTCCAATTTTCAAATAAGTACAGCAACGGCAAGTATATTTTGATTTTGAATAAATTTTTGACTTATTTTTTTTTTGTTCGTTAACTTTATTTTGTATTACAGATAACTAACAAATAAGAAAACCAAACGCCATAAAAGATGGGCAAAACGTAAATGTATCAACGTTTTACGTGAATGTTTTAATTAAATAAATATAAGAATAACACAAAGTCGATGATGTAACACAAGAATGTGGGAGGTGAACTTCTTATTGCAGATGTGATAAGTGAAAAAATTTTAAGGATAGTAACTTCATTGATGATAACGATGATCGTAAAACCTGCACTGTGGAAAAACGCTTGCTAATGAAGGAGCCAAACTTTTGAATCATCTACACACACACACACACACACACACACACACACACACACCACACACACACACACACACACACACACATGTAACTACAAACAAACGCATATTAACATCAACATACACTTACAAACATCAGCATACACATACAAACATCAACAAACACATACAAACATCCACAAACACATACAAACATCCACAAATACATACATGCATCAACAAACACATACAAACATCTACAAACATACACAAAAACACCAACATACAACTTAACAAAATTCGAAACAAATCATCTAAATTCCAAAGAATTTATAATAAAACAAATTAACAGACCAATACACGCATAAATAATACACCCACACAAAATAAATTCAGCCAAACATCCAAACACAGAAACATACAAAACACATACATACAAACTCATACGAACCCATACAAACACATATACAAAAGCATACAAAACATACAAATGCGCTAAAACACACAAACACATTCGAAAACACATACAAACGCACATACAAACAGGCATACAAGTGGAGACAATCACATCAAGACCTTACACCAGTTCAATTGTTTTTGTAAATAAAACGATGCACGTACGCACACACTGTTTGCACTCACTCACTCACTGATCTTCACTCATTTTTTTTCTTATTTCACTCACTCATTCTCGCTTTTTTTCTCTCTCTTTCTCTCTATCTCTTTTTTAATTTTTCATAATCTTTTTAAATAATGAAATATTTTGGTTTTAAATAAACTTTTCATTCGATTTAGTCATTTATTATACATAACTTAAATAAAATTGCAAGTTATCGAATCATATAACCTTAATGCTACTTAGCTTATTAATGCTGGATGAATCACAAGGAACATTAACAACTTTTTTTAAAATTGTTCCTCAAACATTGTTTATTAAATGGTTCAATTACATCAACCAAAGTGTGTGTGTGTGTGTGTGTGTGCGTGCGTGTATGTGTGCGTGCGTGTAAGTAAAATTTAATAATCGTTATCATCAGACACATTTTGATGTCATCATTACCATCAACACCATCATTATCAGGATACCTTCTTGAAATAATGACCGTATAGCAGGATTATATCATTTAATTTAATTAGCTCGAGGTCTTAATTGAATTTAAATGTTGTAAAAAGAGCCAACATTTATTTGCATAGGCACATATGCGGACGAATATTAAAAAAGGCACTCGTGTATGTAAAACGTGCGAGTGTGCGTGTGTGTGTGCGTGTGTGCGTGCGTGTTTAATAAATAAATAAATAAATATATATATATATATATATATCAGTAAATAGACTTTTCAACATCAAAACATTCATGCATAGGCAAAGAAAAACACACAAACATAATGTTGAGAACGTAGAAAAACGAACGAACATCATAACACTCGGAAAGTTTTCTCTACGAGTGCAGTGCGTATGCAAATGTATCGCACGTCGTTGGCACACACACTTTGAAGCGTTTAAATCAACAAACAAACAAACACGTAGGCAACACGTAAATACATGAACAACTACAAACACACAAGCACGTACGCTCGCACATTATATACAAACGCAACAATACAACAAATAATCATAAAATCGCAACGAAAAATAGCATTCAATAACATACAATAATCAACACAACCAACAATCACAGCAACAATCGTATCTGAGTACTTCAGCCAACAACAATGGATCTTACCAGTAAACATGTGCAATATACGGTCGTATTAATTTTCATTATCATTCTTAAACTTATTTATTTTTCTATATCAAATTTTAGTAGTTTGTGTTAAGAACATATTTGTTTTTATTGTATTCATTCATGCACTATCAAACAACATATTGACGCAAAAAAAACATCAACAAACACGTACCGTTGTTGTTGATTTGGCGTGTACTTAAATATGTACACGTTTATGCATGCATATACCCACATACGTACACAAACACAAACACATACATACACACATACTTACACACACACATACACACAGGCGCGAATACACACATACGCACAGGCAAATGCAGGCATGCGAGTAGACATGCAAATAAACGCAAAGTTTGCGTGAAACCATTCGGGAAAAGAGCTGGCGTCGTAAAAACGCGAAACCATTAAACGCGCGGACATTCATAAAACTGTGTGGGATGCTTCTTGTTGTTTTGTCGTTGTTGTTGGTTGGTTGGTTGGTGTGCTGTTGCTGTTTCATAGTGTTTGCTGTTTATGTGGATGTAGTTGTTTTTGTTTATTACTTGTTGTTAGTTGTTTGATGTTGTGGTTGATGTTGTTGTTGTTGTTGACGTTTGTTGTTGATGTTTGTTGTTGTCGTAATAGTTGCTTGGTGTTTGCTGTCACTGATGCCACTGTCGTTTGGCGTCGATGTAGTTGTAGTTGTTGTTGTGAGGCAATGAACATTTTTGTCTTTGTTGATTTTTTGCTGTGACGTTATTTTTCGTTGTGTGATGTTTAATGTTATTGTTGTTGTTGTCATCGTGTTGTTTACGATATTGTTGTTGTTTCTACCTGATGTTTGCTGTTTGGCATGATAGCGTTGTTTACTGTTGTTTTGTTCTTAATGCTGGTGATTAAAGGGTTTTTTTGGCTTTGGCTTGGTTGTTGTTGTTTGTTTGTTTGGATGTTTTGGTGTAATTTGGCATGCTGTTGTGGCTGTTGTTGTTTGCTTGGGTGTTTTTGTGATGAAATTGTGAGGGTCTTTATTGTTGGGTGTTATTTCGGTCCTGTTGTTGGCTGTTAGTTGTGTTATGTGTGGATGTTTGTTTTGTTGCAATATGTATAACGTTTTTTGTGTTGTTTTATGTGCTTGCTGATGTTGTTGTGTGAAGCTCGTTGTTTTTCATTTTGAATAAGGATCTAGATTGTTACTACTACTACTACTACTACTACTACTACTACTACTACTACTACTACTACTACTACTACTACTACTACTACTACTACTACTACTACTACTACTACTACTACTACTACTACTACTACTACTACTACTACTACTACTACTACTATTACTACAACTACTACTACTACTACTACTACTACTACCACTACTACCACTACAGCCCCACTTACCACAAGGCCCGACGATGCGAAATAGACTGAATGGAAATGACTTTAAAGGCCATGAATGTGCAGTTACGGGACTGGCCACTTGGGACGTTCCGGGGCGACTTTTGTCTCTTTATCGACTGCCAAGCTGACGATCTGAATGATAATATTTCTTTTCAAATGCTTCTTCTGCATATTACGTGTCGGCGGCCATTTTGTTTTTATTTTTATTTCTATTTTTTGTGGTTTCCATTGATGTATTTTTTTGGTTTTGTGTTTTTTTTTTAATTTTTGGGTTGAATATTTTTGAAATTTAAAAATTATTTTAGTCATATTTAACTAATTTCTATGTAGAGTTTAATTT